GGGGGGGGCGCCGAGAGCTCTTCCCTAGAGGGCTCCATCCCGCTCCGTCCACTCTTGGGGGGTAAGGGCGGGGTGGGCATGGGCCAATCGTCCTGCGCCCTGGCCTGGCCGGTCGTGGAGATATTTGTACGTGTCGAAGGAAAGTCGGCGCGGGTGGCGGTGGCTGCTGGCGGAGAATCGGCAAAAAAACGGGCCACGTCCTCCTCCTTGTCCCTCCCTTCGTCGCCCGTGTCCATGGCCGTCTCCCCTGCCCCTTCCGCCACCCAGGCATGCTGCATGTGCCCTCGCTGCGCTTCTAAATAACCACCTTTTGATCCGTCGTGTCCTTGTGGCTCTCGCTGTGGTTGTTGTTGCTGTCGGAGCCGGAACTGCTCAGCTTCTTGTGCTTGTTGAGCCGCCGCCAAATCCATCAAGGCCAGTCCCCGCTGTGGGTCCGCGTCAAGCTCCGCCCACAGACCTGGGCTCATATACACACGTTGTCTTTTGCAATATTCTGTGTTGGTACCACATGGGAAGAAGAAATGTGAGAGGGGAGGCTTCAAAACGAGGATCAGCCAGAATACCACCACGGTTCTTCCTTCCACTGACGCGATTTGGCCCTCCTCATCCCCTTTCAACTCTATCGAGCACTATGCATCGTACCTGCACCATTTAAATCCGTGTGCTGTCCGAAGTATGGTAAATTGTTCGCAGAATTGCCGTCTTGGCCTCCACCTCCTTCGTTGGCACATGGATATTGAGCCGCCGGAAAAGGCGGTGTATGTGCCAAAGGTGCGGCCATCCTTCCCTTCCGCATCCAATATAATTGCTTAAATCAATGCTATTTTAGAGAGTTGCGTGGTCTTATGCTCCAGGGATGGCGGTAAACGTCGATTTTACAAGCTGTCCCGTCGTGCCAGCGGCGGGCACCTCCTTCCTTCTGTGGTGCCAAAGTAGGTAGCCGAGCTTTTCGCCATAAAAGGTGTCTTGTACCCCGTGCACAGACAAAGAGACCCCGTCAGATCGTCCGTTGTTCCTGCAATACGACAAGACGAGAAATCGTGTGAACACCGAGGGAGGAAGGCGGCCGCGCGCAACGTAAAATGGGTTCCTGCTGCGAAGCGCACATGACGTTAGCGGTCTCGAAAATATTCGCCTATCGCCTGCAAAACCCAGAGCTGCCCCCCAAATCCCACCCACGCATCCACCCGTGGACACGACCTGCCGCATGCGGACATCGACAGGGCGTGGCGCCGTTCTTGATGCTGTCGTGGCGGGTGCTGGGACGCGGGTGGCATGTTGTGGACGGTGTCGGGCGTGTATGCGTGCTTTCAAAGTTAGTGACGGGTGTGGGGTTGGGAGGCCCTAAATTCTTGTTCCCGGCACAATGGGCCGCTTGAGTTCTCCAAGAAACCTGCTAGGACAGCGGATTGAACCTTTTTTTCTCTCACCACGGCGTGTACCTCTACTACTACAGGGTCAGGTGTGCATCGGATCGAGCAGTGGACCTATTGGGTACCTTTAAGTGCCGTTTTTGAGGGCTTCACACTGGACCGTTGCGTCTACCTGCTCTCCCCGTTTGGGGGGAGGGCCATAGAACAACTCTAACGCACTGAAATATGGCACCCAAATTTCAATTTCTTGACCCCAGACAATGGGCAAGCAAAAGGAAAGACGCGATTGAGAAAGCCAACAAGTACGTGCAATATAAGGCAAACTGAAATGGACCTCCACGAGTTTTTCACCCGTTTGTCCCACGAAATAGGTTGCGGGCAGACCGCGCCACGGGAGGGACATTGGACGAGTCGTACACCTTCGCACCGAAAACAAACCTACACAGGCCCAAGGGACGAAGCAATTCCTCGGAGGACTACTCAGTGACAATGCCTGCTGATATTCCTGGTGCCAATTTGTACTTCGCGGTCCCGTCGGCGTCGCAGGCAAACAGAAAGCCATCGTTATGCCACTCCCAACGTTTTCGCAAAAGTCAAAACTCCCGCAGCTGTGCAAATACAAGCCGCAATACTCGTTTTTATGCGGTTCGAGATGACACCGAGGAGGACTTTGACTTGCCCAAGCAAAGAACGGACGAGGGAGGGCGGTTCGCGGCTCGGGTGGCCGTAGACATGGGGAAGACACTCTGGTCATCCTTCCGCACACACCACAACCAGCTTCCAGCTCACCCACAACACTGCGACTCCGACGTGGACCCATCCCACGGTAGTTTGGATCAGTCCTCATCCCCTGCGGTCTCCCCTGAGGAGGCCACTGTTGGCATCGGGGCGGGTTTCCACAGGAAGAAAACACACTTCCCATCGCGAGCACCTGTGCGACATGCATCTTTCACGACTGCTTCACTTCACAATCATGCGCGGGATGGGCCAAGGGTGGTAGTTGATGGATATAGGGGCAAAGACGCGAAGCACGGAAATCATCGCAACGACAACCAGGACGACAGCGATACCCTTTTGGTACACAAATCAAGGTCCATCAAAAACGTCCCCACGGGAGCCGGTGACTGCGAAAAAGGCGTCGAATCGCCAGGATTTGAGCTTGAGGGAAATTCCTGGAGCGTCCGGGTAGGTTTGGAGCGTCCGTTTCCCCCTGACGCCACCGCCGCTGCTTCCCTCTCCCTTCTCAAGTCGAAGCTCAAGCAACGTAAATCCTCTCCTTCCTCTTCTTCCTCTCCAACCTCCGCCCCTGCCCGCATCCCGCTCCGCCCCACTAAATCCGCTCCTCCGCGCTGCTCTCCTCCGTCACACTCGCAGGAGTCAATTGCGCCGGGAGTAGGGACGGGGAAGGGGAAGACATGGTCTTGCCTGAACCAAGATGGTCGTGTGCCGTCGTCCAACGCCCGTGTGGGCCAGAAAAGCGTCCCCCGAACAGCACGCTTTCAGTCACGATGGCACGACGAAGACGGAGGGGAGGAGGAACCGGACAAGGAGGAGGAAAAGGAAGCAACCTCCGCTTTTTCTTCCTCTCCTTCCCCCCAAGGTACCGTCCACCTAGTCCCATGTCCTTCCTGCGGCCGAAAATTCAATGAACGGGCCCTTTTAGTGCATCAGCGCGTGTGTGAGAAGGTCTTCCGTTCCACCCGCCCTGCATACAATTCACGGCAACACCGCCTGCGTGGCTTCGAGTCCGGAACAGGCCCCAAGGCGGAGGCCTCCTCTTCCTCATCCAGTCGCTGTGGTCGAGGAGTGGGCCGAAGGAAGAAGGGGGGGAAGGGGAGGGGCAAGGAAGAGGATACCCCAGAGGACGGATTCTCCATGCCATGTGAACCTTCCACACAAGTCCCGGCGGCCACGCCCTCTTCCTCTGCCCGGCCGACGTCGGAATATCGGGCAACAAGGCATTCCACGCGGAAGGACAAGGATGACCAGCGCAGCACGGGGTCATCCTCCCGTCCTGCCTATCCGGAGCCCGTCCATCGGAAAGCGTTGTCTCCCATGACAACCTCTCCCTCTGAACCCAATTCCCAGGGAAAGAAATGGTTGGAGCAATCCCAAAATTTCCGGACCATGCTCAGAGCCAACCGTTTGATCGCGGACGCAGAACGGAAAGGCCGCCCGGTGAGCCCCACATTGCTTGCTGTGCTTGCGTCATCTGCCAGTGCGGCATCAGGACACTCCAACCAACATCTGATTCCCTGTCCTCACTGCGGTCGACGATTCAACGAGCAGGCCGCAGATCGGCACATTCCAAAGTGCCAGGATATCAAGGCCAAACCGAGCATGCTGCGCAAGGGAGAGGGCATCTCTCTCGGGGCAGCCTCACGTAGGAGCAAGGGTGAAGGAGGACGAGGGAGGATCATTAACGGGGGGTTGGCACCACGAGGCTCACCGAGAGGGAAAGGACTCAGAGCAGAGCGGAAAGTATTGTAGTTGAAAATTTTGAAACATTGATAGTGGTCGTTTTGAGCCCGGGTCGTTTTGAGCCCGTGTCGTGTTTTTCTTCCCGCACGGCATATGAGGCCGAAGGGGCGTTACCGAAACACACAAGCAAGACATGCCAAAACTACGCAAAAATTTAACAAATGGCGACGCCTATCATTTAAAAAAAATCCCACACGAATGTTTCATCACCGCATTGAAAACAATGTGGTTGGTCGACTTTGGGCGGTAAAAACGCTTGGTGTCCTCGACTCTCCCACCGATATCTAAAGCCATTGTTGTTTTCGCTGTGGGGTTGCAGGCGAGTGGTGGTGCGCCTCCTTGTCTTCGGGACCCCCCCATTGCCATTTCGAATGGCAATACGCTACGTGCAGTTGCTTCGGAAGGTGTATTGCATGACGACGTATTTTGTCAGTTACATGACTGGACTTTTTTCTCATGTGCACTGTTTGTTGTCATCTTTTTCCTCAAATCATCGCTCGCCTCCCCCCTCCTTCTCCGCTACGCAACTTATCCGCCTACACACGCGAACAGCCGACACTCATGGCGGGCGAGGACTATGAGCATCATTACAGTGATGTTCCCATCGACGAAGAGCTGAAGGGATACATTTCGGAAGGACGCACCGACTGGGAAGAGCCCGTTTACGAACCGGACTTCTCGACAGCCATCGTGGTGGATAACCTACCGAAAGTATCTCGTGAGAAGTATGACAGGCTGATGGTGTTTGTTCGGAAGATCTACGATCAAGTGGGGAAAATTGCTGAGGACGGCTTGCAAATGCCTCTGGACGAGGCGACTGGTATGACCCTCGGATTCGCCTTCATTAATTTCCTGACCCGGGATTCGGCGGAGAAGGCCATCGCGGCCACCAACAATTGGAATTTGGATAAGGCGCATGCATTGAAAGTCAACAGCTATGTGGACCTCGTCAAGACCACGACACATCCGGAGACGTACACCCCGGAACCCGCGCGGCCTTTGACCACCGTCCCCGGATTGTACGACTGGCTGAAGGATGCGCAATATCGTGATCAATTTGTCGTGCGGCACGGGCGGGACACAGAGGTCTATTGGGCCGAGCCAGGAGGGACGCCCGAGCTGGTGTACGGTGGAGAACGGGAGAAGGCGATGGGCCAGGGGAGGTATTGGTGTGATCAGTACGTGACGTGGAGCAAAACAGGCGCGTACCTCTTAACCTATCACCGGCAAGGAGTCGCGCTTTGGGGGGGGCCGAAATTCGAAAAAGTCGCCCGCCTCGCGCACCATGGGGTGGCCTTGGCGCAATTTTCCAACACAGACAGGTACCTGGTCACGTATTCCTACCCGGACGACGGGCCCGGCCATGTGGTGGTGTGGGACGTGGAGCGTTCCATCTCGATCCAGGAGCAAGTCGCCCTCCGCTCGTGGCCAGTGGAGCCCTTTGGGAAGGGGAATCATTTCAAGTGGTCGCACGACGACAAGTACATCGCGGTGGGGAAAAGCAAATACCTCCGGAACCCCCAGGCCGCCCAGGCGGGGT